TTTCATCATTTGTTTCACTCCGAATATGATGCCCACCTGACCGGCTCTCGTTCGTCAGATAGCAGTTTGCCAGTTGCCTACTTTAAATGTGCATGGTCGGTTTTCTACTTTCCGTTTGTCGCTGCAAGTGATTCAATGTATGTCACTCCTTTTGAATATGTCGTCTATTCTAAGCAATATGCTGCCGCACACATAGGCTACATTATTTCGCCGTTTTATTTATTCTGTTATACGTATTTAGGACATTGTTGAGTAAAAGTTCATTCCTTAGCAAACCTTTTGCCATTATGTCCGTCTTAATTCACGATCTTTTGACTGACAGAAAATGACGGCTCTTCAAAGTTCAGGGCCAAAACATTTATAATTTTATTGATGTTACACGAAAAATCGGAATGATAACACAAATTTTTCCATTCAAGTCTAGAAACATGGTGTCATGTAAAACGCCTGTTGTCTATTTGTACATGTTCATTAACTTCTGTCGTCTTTTGAAAATAATACTGCCTATTTTACGATTTCCAGGATTTTTTCTAAGCAGCAGAAAAAACTTGTGGGTTAAGTGTTCTTTGGTAGTTTTAGCAGATATTTGCTGCATTTTTATGTTTCAACACACTCTCCCCGTCTTTGGACGTGCAAATTTACTCGGAGAGTTCTCTTGTTAGCTCTCCTATCTGCAAGTGCATTTACCGACGTAAGGCGATCAACTATTTCCTATAGGCTTTCTAACTCCCCGAAACCATTTTAAGTCGTTAGTCAATTTATAAGTAATACATGTCATTTAAGTGTCTTTCTAGTGTATAGGCTACTTTGTAAACGTTATGTGATTTCCCCCTAGGGTACTCTGATTCTGGCATGACTCCAAGATATTCCCTTATGTTGGCTTCTCATCGGGTCTACTGAACATTGCAAAATGTTACTTTTATTTAAGTATTTCATTTCCGCCAATTTACGAGAAAATTTTCATTTGCAAAGTCCAGAACACATATTTCAAAGCTTCTAGCGAGTAAGCAATAATAATGACATTAGTTTTTGGTCCATACAGAATGAAGTAAGACTAGCTCATTAGCTTCGTGAATTTTGGTGACCGTTTCTTTACAAATGACCCTTGTTTATTTTGCATTATCATGCACAGACACTGTCCTAGCGCACCATATAGCCGTTTAATCTTTCCCCATTTAAGCCTCATTATTGTGTAATAAATGCATCTGTTTTGATCGCCTAAGCATTGGAGTGTGTTTTGCCTCCAACAGACTCACACTCTGTTGGCTTTGGAGCGGCTATTACATATGCAGCCGGCAGTGAAGTTTAGTACGACGTTATTCTTGAAGGAATATTTTTATTATACTTCTTTCTGACACTCGTTTTAGGCATATATGTTTCCCTACGACCCTCCAGACCCCCGCACGATGATCAAGACTGCATTCGTGTCAATTCGTCCGGTCGGTGTTTTTGTTCGCATTTGCTGAAGGAGCACGCACCCTTCACGAAAAATCGCAATGTGTCCTGTGCTCAGGTAACATGAGCTTTATTCATTCGTCAGATGTTTCATAGTACTAAGAGATCCGTTAATTGGTCATCAGACTGGTGTATTTATCTGGGGGCGTTTCTGTATGAAGAAGGACCTCAGCATCTTGCAATTAGTTACTTCGGAAAACTGGAGGCAAGCTGTCGGGATTGGAATAAGCTTTATCCCCTAAAATGCCATCTGGATCCTCTCAGCAGAATGCCGCCATAGTCTCTATTTACTAGCCAATAAAATTAGGTCCTCTCTGTCTCGTAACACCTTGTCTGGGGAGTTCCAATGACAGGCCATCGATTAAGCTGTGTTAGGTCTGTTCAACAGTTCCCAATGACCGCATTTTGCAACAAAGTATGTTTGCTTTACATTAACATCTGAATACTTGTAGTGGGTTGATTTTAAAATCCAAAAGCTATTTTTGATACATCGACTAAAAATATTTCAAAGTCAACTCTAGCTTCTGATGCGTAGTTGAATGTTTATTTGCAAGCAGGTTCTCTGACTCTCGCAGACTGTGCCTTTTTGGGGTTGATCCATTTTCACTTTAAATCACCTATCAGGCTAAAAAAACTTAGACTGCCTGCATCCCACAAAACTCGGTTTTTTGTTTTCCATTCAACGCATGCTACAGCCAGTTTACGGAAGCGACTGAAAAGTCCACTAAAAGTACTCTTCTGTTAAAAGTCCATAAATATGAGCACGAAGTTAATGGTCGGATGTACAGAAGCTTCTTTTTAATAAGAGTGTATGCTTTCGACGTAGAGACTGGTCTCACTGGCCCAAGTTTGCATAAGGGAGCTTCTAACATGCCAAAATCTCATTAACCGAATTTAAACTTAATTATCCTGGCCGCTTAAGGCAAAAGTCTTGTTCCTTCGAATTTGGACATTTTGGCGAACTGTTGCTATGGTACCCACACCGTTTCGCTGGTAAAGAGATGCGCAAACGAGTATTACGCATTAAATGTCAACTTCGAAACTGAAGACCGAGAGGCGAACATCGTTCTGTCAACTATCATCAGCGCAATTTGGAAATAGGAAGTCGCCTTGCGTCGCACCCTGTATTAGGGCCACATGAAGTATTTCGTCAACTAAAAAGTTCATTGAGAAGTTTTACCGACGAAGATACAGACAACGGAACAGCCATTGCTGGTAAAATAGCCACCATTGTTCAGTTTTTTCCTAAATCTCAGATCACGACTCCGAGGTTTGTATCGAAACCGGCCGATAGTTGGTCTGTGCCATTAGACTTGCGGCCGAGGTCGAAAATGATCGGTCCTATGCTAGTGGCGTGCACTAATCGCCCCCGATTACAAGACAGGAATTGTCGCTTCTACTTTGCATTAAAGGTAAGTGCCTAGAGCCCACCCAGTAGGGTCACCGGGCGGTTGCTGACGAAGACAAGCGACACCTGAATGACAATTTTAGCCTATATGCCGTCATCAGGCATTCTGGTCCCTATTCTCGACTCTGACGCACCCTACGTGCTATGCAGGATTGTAGGTCGTCCACCGCTTTAAGTTAAATGTTCCTGCCACATCATCCGTGCGACCGCCTGTGTTGACCGCACGCCCAGGAATCCAGGGTATGACGCAGTCCCCTATTCTGCCGTCCCGCGATTCGGATATATTGTCCCGTCCGCCGAGCAAAAATCTCCACGAACTCTGATACTGCCCATCGCCACAAATGCTATCAATTCTATTTGAAATAGTCAGTTGTGTGTCAGTGAACAGCCGCTGACTTTTGCTTCCCACGTTTCTAAACCTCTAAAACACCTTACGAAATCGTAAATTGCGGCTCACACAGAAGCGAAAACGTGCTATGCTGAGTGCGAATTACAAAATATGTCTTTTCATCCGAACACTTTGTGTATTTTGGCGTTAAGTCGGTGGCAGGGTGTGGTAGGAAGAAGAACTACACTTGTATTCAGGGTTTCCAAACTACCAGCTGTAAATTTTCACTGTATGGAAAATTATACATTTCTATAAATTCATAAAATGTAACAGTGGACTTGAGCCATATTTTAAACTCTACAAGCAGCATTAGCAAATGCAGAGGCACGATATTTTATGAAGGGGAATTTCGCGGTCTTAGAAACTCTCGTAATTAGGAAGTTTTTTAAAACCGAATTATACTCTTCCCTCAAAAAAATTTGAAGAAGACGTAATTTCCTGTCAAATTAGTAAGAGAATGAATATTTTTTGCATGTTTCCAGTGAAATATATTTGAATTTATAAGGGCACCGAAAAGCAATAAGAAAAATTCATGCTGCTTAAGTAATCATTTAGGCAGAATGCTATTACCGACAAAGACAAGAAAGAATGGAGTGGTCATTTCTGGCTTATTAGCCGTCGTCAGCCAGTCACACCCAACCCCGAAGTGTGGAACACCCGAGGCTCGAACTCCCGACCTGTTAGTTAGAAGTTCACTCCTCTAACCACTGGGCCACGAGCCCGCTGCCCTGTCGGTTTCGATCGGGAATATGCAACGGTAGGGGCTGGTTGGGCTCGAGAGAGACCCCGTAAGGCACAACGGAAGGATTGAGTTCCGTACGAACGACCGGTGAGCGCCCCCTACCATTAAGTTATTATTTTTTACGGTGTACGTTTTGTAGATGGCCGGACAGATGTTCATTCATAAGCTGACATCCCGAAATAACAGAAGTATCTTGGGATTAGGCGGTATGTTGATTGATACCACGACCCTACTTAAGCAATATTTTCGAGTCGAAAACGCATTTTAGATTTTCGGTTTGTATTTCATGAGTTAACTCGTCTACTACACATGCAATTTCCCAAACAACATATCCTGGCTCCACGGTGACATAGCTATGATATACAAACACATTTGGCGGATTGTTTCCTAAGTGGTAAAGGTCAAAATATTTCCTCACCTCACACGTTGGCTCAGCACATTGCAACACGAAAGTGCGAAGCGTTGACTGAGACAGGAGGCCGGCGGATTACTGCACAGACACCATTAGCACTTCACTTAGTGTGCCGATTACTTGATTGTGATTTGCCTTTATCGATCGGGCGTAGGAGGGCTGGACTAATAATCGCAGCCTTCCTCCAGCACGTCAGCCTCGCCCAACCCTTCAAGGAAAGGTTTTCGCCGCTTTTGCGTGCACATGACTCAGAATGCTGTCAAACATGTTTAAGGTGCAGCAGTAGTGTTGGGTTATTGGTAGGTTGTTTGCTGAAGTATGTAGACGTTGAATTGTAGCAGCAGTTTTAGCAGACATAGGAACATTATGCTGTACCTGTGGCCATAGGTAGCTGCGTAATGAGGGGAAACAAGGTGGCAGAAAAATTTTCATGGCTTATGACTTTCCATCAATGTAGACTTGAATAACCAGTCCTGCTTTTCCCACTGCATAGAATAACTGCAAATGTAAACGCTTCATGTACGCTCCCGGCCGACCGGAGGAATTTGGTGAATTTTGGTTGCGCAAGAGACGTGACTTTGATCCTGAAGCCTATCGCATGAAGTGTTCATGTAAACACACTCACGAGGAGCACGAGTGCTATCCCTCGCCCTATCGCTGTCGAGCCAAGGGCTGCGGTTGCGGTGCCTTCAACTCAGCCTCCGTATGTGCCGCCTGCGACATGCACTGGCAGGACCATATTACCGTCTTCGAGACCGAACAGGAACGTAAACAGGCTGGCCGGCAAATACGTGCGTTCGTTACTCCTCTAATACTGACCCCTTAATGCGTACTTTGTCTTAAATCGCCCTTCTTACCTATATGCCACGAGCTGATGGAGAGCGGATCTTGCCATTTAAACCATAAACTGTGTGTACTTAAATGTTTTAAGTAGGCTTTTTGTGACATTTTATTCTGCGTAAAATTCTTTCCGCACGATCCAGTGTGCATAAAGCTGTCTCCTATGCAACCAAATTTGAGTCGGAGTTTTTCGCTTACAAAAAGAAGACCTGGAGAAATATTCTTTTTCTAGACATGGTGAACCATGCATAATTGATCAATCCTGCACCTTTAAAATTGCAGACACTAGCTAGCCTCGAATTAGGGTCTTAGAATGTCCGGTCTAATCCCCTGTCGTTAAGCTTTGATAAGGATGCAGCCTTGTTTAAATGGATTGGTTCGGTGGATTTAGACCAGGTAGACGTGAAGCAGACCCAGATGTTCCAGACTTTTTGTCATCCAACCAAAACGCGCCCAAAGAAATCTGAAATGGCCGTTGTCTCCCAGTTCCCATTGTCTTTGTTGGTCTTCCTCTGTCTCTGTTTGTCTGATCGTCTTACAACCTGGTAGATATGTCAAAATGGGGAGCTGACACAAGAGTTCTCAATAGTCGATAGCATGAGGATCCCTAAATCACAAGTCAGAGAGAACAGCTTATGTTGGAAAGCTCTATTTGTACGGCAGAGCGTGCATGAGGTGCAGCAAGGAGTTGTTGCAAGTTGTCCCTTCAGGCGTGCTAGTGTCCGCCGTTGACGTTCTTGGCCCTCAGCACGTGTGTACGCCTCTGCTTTGTCTGACTTGTGTCCGCTTTCTAGTCAATCAGCGAAGGAACAACACTGATTGACTCCGAGCTCTCGCGCGGCTAATGACAAGCCTCTCGCGGTCCCGTAGAGAATAAACAGGCAGTGTGCGACGGACAGAAGGGCAGCGTGACAAAGCGCCGCCAATCAGGGGGATGGACTGCCGCAGATCGTGACCGCCAGTACGGAACTGAAAGCATGTCTTATCTCGAGTTCCAGGTGTATGCATACGTGAGGAATAAGAAGGGTCGAGCACCGGAACACTTTGTTTATTGTCCTGAACTTTCGGGCTCGTGCAGGAGTCCGTCGTCAAGGATGGTAGCAGCAACAGAACAAGCGGCAGTTATAGGGCATGTAAGCCAATCATCGACCGACGACGTAAGACTGGAGGTGACTGCGCAGAGCTCTGTACACCGACGCCGAATCGATAAATCGACTGACTGAGTCCTCCTCCAAGGCCCGAGCTTCAACCAATTCTCGGCCTGTTTTATTTTCGGCGTGGGCGACTACTTTGCTGGTTTTGATGTTAAACTCGTGACCCATTTCGTAGGTGTGGGCGGTCACTAGTGATAGTGCGTCTCCTCGTCGCACAGCCGGCTTATGCTCGTGTATGCGCGATCCGAGCATGCGCCCAGTCCGGCCTGTGTAGTTGAAAGGACAGTTTTGGCACGGGATGCGATACACTACTCCAGACTGCTCCTCGGGCTTTAACTGGTCTTTAATTTTCATGACCATATTTCGCATGGTGGCTTTAAGGCGGTGTGCAATTCCGACAACTGGCTCCGCAGCAATGCGCTCGGTCGCATTCATAAATTTTCGCTTTCTAATTTCCTCGGAAACTATCTACGAACTTGAAGTATCTACCAGAGAACAGTCAGGGAATGCTGGGGGACCCACTGATGAGCCGAACCCCTCACAGCTGCGCCATGCAGCGGCAGAATATCGACGAAACACGCGTGTATGGGCTTTTGGTTAGTACCTGTGCTGTTAGTATGGTATCACCTTACCCTGACGAATGTAGTGTCGAATGCGTGGATTGGTAGTTACCGACATAAAATAGATGTGCCAACTCATGAAATGTTGGCGAAAATTCTGAAATACGTCTTAGACTGAATTCAGCGTAAGTTTCTTTTCTGCAAACGAATGTGCGTAACGTTTGGTCAGCCTTCCGCCACACGGGAACATCCAAAAATATAAGTTTACAGTCAGTTTTCTTTTCAAGTGGAACTTTTGAGTTGATAGTGCTGCGAAGCACTTCTAGTTGATCCTTCTTTACAGTAACAAATGTGTTATCCACGTGTCGCAGGCACAATTTAGGAATAACTAACGGTAGCTCTAAAGTGTACTACTAGCTGCCTGTCGGCAGTTAATGAATATCACGCGGTTACCCTCTGTGGCTGATGGACTTTGGCCCAAATATTCATACATAAAATTCTCGGTCTGAGCCTATAGATCTTGAATAAACTGATCTACTCCGAGTTCGTATATACTTTCTGAGGAAATTAAAAAGCAACAAGATCCCATCATGTTTGGCAACTGTTTAAAGTCTTTTTCCGGACCAGCCTATTCCCAGGCAGAGAACATTATTGGCCCGGTTGAGACGAAGATTTTAATGCCTCTTGTCTCCAGGTGAGGACTGGTTGCCCTTCTCAGAACTGCCAGCCCTCCGGGATATTGCGGTCACCGGGGTGGACAACCCAGATGTGGAGACCCTCGCGGATGCCCTGCCCCCCTCGATGCGGGAGAAACTGGCTCAGTCGAAGGACAGACCAGCCCTGCCACCGAGATAGACTCCAGTGCACACCTTTTATCCTCGACATTTCTTTGACCGCCTTCTTTTCCCTTTTCATTTCTTCTCTCTCGACCAAGATGCATTATTTATTTCCCTCGCTGAAATGTGTTTCCGTGTTGATTCTGATTGAACCGGGAACTGCGAAGGCGGAGACACGATCGCTGGAACAAGAGCCTTATTAGCCCGACGCTTCGGATTCTCACTCGAATCCATCATCAGAGACAGAGTCAAATAAGGGTGGTAAATTGCCCAGGTGTTGCAGTATTTATAGGATGTAGTTGCTAGGCCGCTACATGCCTATCGCACTTGGCAGCTCCCAAGCGCATCGCGGTTCGACTGGCCAGGTGTTGAAATATGCAGTTGCTATGCTCTTGTGTACCGGTCAAGATTATCGATTCCTCCGCTCACCGCACGCAGTCGAGTTGCTGACGCCCGGATTTCGTCATCCTTGTGGGCTCTTTGGCAATTTGGCTCGCCAATATTGACCCCAGGAACGGTGGTCATCCGCACGCTGTCCTCGAGGCTAACTACTTTGCCTAGACTACGTCTCAACGCCGAATATGGAACGGGGAGGTCATTGCGCTTGTTGCTTGAGTTAGGACCGGAAAACCATGACTCGAGCAGTTCGCGGCTCACGCGGTTTTCACCTCTAGCAAGAATTTCTGATTCGTCAAACTTGACTGTGTGGTTGGGTCCCGGGGACTTAAATGAGCTAGTATCACTAATAAGGGTGAGGAAGACCTTAAGAGCCCTCAATCATCGCCAGTTAGCTATACGTCTGCTCTTTGGCCGTAAACGTATGCTATTTGAGGGTCGATCCGGTTGATCATATGATCAGACGTTGTATCGACTGAATTACGTGCTTACACCCTGGACACTGCTGTCGGCAGTATTTAAAATTACCGGGAGTGAACGTTCCCTGATCCGCTCTGATTCTAGGAGGTTGAATTGTGCGCTGAAGTCCCGTCAGTATCCGTCACAGGTGGTTGCACATACAGCAGCTTCAAGACAAAACAGAGCGTCGCCACTCGGACTCGGTTGGGGAATTCGCATACGCGGGAAATTTAGAAACCTAAAATCTATGCTTCTGATTAACCTGATCACATTAATTTGTAAGTTAAAATCCTAGTGTTCTCCTGGCGGCCAGAATCAAGTGGGTGCTCCTTAGATGGTAGACCGCAAGTAATATTCAAGAGCTGGAAAACACTGCCTTCTTCCGACAGGAGCAGATCCTTTGGCGCCATTACGTTGAGGACATGTTTTTTTATCGTCCGGAAGGACATGTTGCAGAATTTCCACAACCTGGTTCTCCCACTTTTTCCGGATATACAATTCGCGTAAAGGAAAGAATCAGCGATTGCTCTTCCTTGATGTGCCCACCAAGCGCAGTCCCAGTAGCGAACTTAAGACCACGGTTTACAGGAAGGCAGCAAACACCACGCAGGCTCCCAGGCTTCACAGCAACCCTTCGATGGCTCAAAAACGGATTCGTGTGAGAACACTCGCCAAACGGGTCCAGATTCATTGAAACAACCCCGAGGATATGGCACGTGAGGTCCGATGCCTCCGCAACCAGTTTACGTGGAATGGCTTTTCGATAGCGTTTATGATCCGATGCCTACGTGTTTGCCCTCTGGAGGATCCTACCGAAACCACCATCGAGAATACGGCATGCTCTGCCATACATAAATGACGTTTCAGAAGCCACCAAGGGTACTGCAATGGGACTAGGCGTTGGAATTGCCCACTGACCCAAAACTACAATGCGCAGCAGGGTTAAAAAATAACAATTTAATCCAAGGGGGCAGTCGAGAGCAGTTTATTGTATTTCGTGCCTAAAATGTCCTTGTTATCACGCCGGTCAGACTAAACGAATGCTCTAGTCACGCATACACGAATATAAGCTGGCAGTGCGCATGGATTGATTTATAGCAATGAAATATTCGCACACCGCCTCGCTTGCTCTTTCCCCCTTCCCGGCTTGAGCCCCAAATTTTGAAGAGCTCTTCTATACGTGAAGAACGTGTTGGAGGACTTCAGTCGCCTTTTCACTCCACTTGTAGTCGGGACTGCACGCAGGCTAGAGCCAACCACCAGGCGCCAGAACATGAGGCCGAAAGAACAACTGCAACGGCATGGAATCTCTGGAGCCGTTTACCGGATCAAGTGTGGTTGCGGAGTAGCCACGCGGCGATGGAGCCGAAGAACACACCGGTCGCTTACGTGAGGGGTGTCTGGTTTATATAATTTTGAAGGTACTCATTTGAGGGGCATCCATTGTTGCGGAAGTACATAGTGATTTGGTCTAATCTCCAGTGATTTACTGCACACCTTCGCAGAAGAGCACATTGCTGAGTAGACTCATGCGATGGCCAAGTGCTCGAATGCAATGCTGGCAGCTGAGGCGATAGCGACGGGCATATCATAGTGCTCTAGTCATTGGTTCGTCGACCTCTGCGCGATGGATTCCCAAGTGACCCACCAGGCCGATGGGTGACGTGCATGTGCGGTGACAGTGCGGACAGGAGAGGTTGGGAGACATTGAGTTGGTTGGAACTGTTATGCTGTTAGTGGTGGCCGCGCTGGTGCATGGGGAGTCGATTGAACTGGAGATACGATAGTTGCTGCATGTCCAATGTACGCCTTTTGTGTCGATATTGCGGTGAATTCCGCTTTCGCGTATACCCATATGACCGAATAGGCCAAAGGAGTTACTGGATGTGAGCGGACAGTGTACGCAGACTTGACACGTGCTCTGGTGCATCACTTGCAGCTCGATGAATTCTCAAGTGATCGACCAGGCCGATGCGTGACGTGAATGTGCGATCACAACAACGACAGATTGAGCCCCAGTTCACGTACTTGGTAGTGGGAGGGGAGGCATTGGTTGAAGAAGCGTTGGGTGTCCTCCTGTGGCGGTCAAGGATGTGAGATCGACTTAAACCACGCACAATAAGTTCGTTTCGTCTAATGACAGAAATCAGGGAGCTGTGAGGACTAGTTTATTCTGTACACAGGGCAGGTTGCCGTAAGTTGGCGGTTTGCTTGCAACAGAGAAAAGCGTCCGTTCACGGAGAGCGTCAGTCGCGGTGTGTGTTGTTTACGCGGGTGTGAGTGTCTAGGTCAGCAGGAGGGGGTGACTGTCTGAGTGGTGGTCGTGTGATTGGACAAATTAGAGGACGAGTGGAGGGCGCATACTCACAAGGCCTCACGGGAATCAAGCCAAAGCGTTCGACGCGCGTTAGGCGATACTAGTTTTTGAGTGCAGCCGGGGGTCACTGCAGCTGGACAGGAGGTGTCCCAGTTCTAGCCGGCGGGGGTGGTCGTGCGTCAGCGGCCTGTCAGTGCTTATCGCGGTCATCGACCAACAAAAGGGAGCCGGAGAAAAGGGGGACTGGAGCAGCTGCTACAACTCCCCCCCCAGACACCAAACAAAGTGAAGGCGTCGACACGCTAGCCAGCCACAAACCTGTCGGGCCAGTGGACGTGGCGACCAGATCGTGTGCGGCGAACCGGAGGCGGGCTGTCGCCAGTAGGTGGAGGAGGCCGCACTGTCTGCGGCGGGGTGCGTTGTTGAGGTGAGGAATGGTCACTGTCTTCGATGTAGGCGGGCTTGACGCGATCAATGCTGACTGTGTCGGTCTTGCCGTTGCGTTCGATGACAACATCTTTGTCAGATCGGCGAAGGACTTTATACGGCCCGTCATAGGGTGGTTGGAGTGGTCGTCGGACAGCGTCATGCCGAACCAAGACGAAATCGCACTTATCCAGGTCGGGAGGGATGAAGGAATTGGCCGGTGACGCCCGAGGGGGCGTTGCGCGGAGATTGCGCATGGCACTACGTAGTCGCTCCACATAACTGCAAGGTTCGAAAACGTTAGCGTGTTTGAAGGAGAAACTAACTCACCGGGCAGTCGTAGGGAGGTTCCGTAGACAAGATCAGCTGCAGTGCAACCGATGTCGGCCTTGAGAGTGGAACGGAGGGACAACAGCACCAGGGGAAGGTGATCAGACCATCGGGAAGGATCGGGCTGGGCCATAAGGGAAGTCTTCTGCTGTCGATGGAAGCGTTCGACGAGACCGTTTGCTTGAGGGTGGTACGCTGTTGTTCGGAATCGGTTGGTACCGAGAAGGGAAGTGAGTTCGCGAAACAGCGTGGACTCGAATTGGGATCCGCCGTCAGTGGTGACAGTCGCAGGAACTCCAAAATTGGACACCCAATGAGTCAAGAAAGCTTTCGCAACGGTTTCAGCACTGATGTCCGGAATAGGCGCAGCAACCGGCCACCGAGTAAAGCGATCAATACATGTCAGCATATAGGTAGAACCGTTAGATGGTGGCAGCGGACCTACCAGGTCAATATGCACATGACTGAAGCGTGCATCAGGGGTGGCGAAAGTTCCTGGCGGAGTAATAGTATGCCGATGCGTTTTGGCTCGTTGACATGGTAGACAGGAGCGGGTCCAACGCCGTACATCCCGGTTGATGTTGGGCCAGACGAATCGGTCAGCGATGAGTTTCGCTGTCGCCCGGACTCCAGGGTGGGATAGATTGTGAAGAGCGTTGAACACTCGTCGTCGTAAAGTTGCTGGAACAAAAGGACGTTCGTGTCCGGTAGAAAGGTCACACGTGATGATGCCTGTGCCAGTGGGAAGGGGGACATCTTGAAGGCGTAAAGAAGAGTCCTCGTGGCGGTATCGGGGGAGTTCGCCATCCGATCGTTGAGCCTCAGCCATGAGCGTGAAGTCTATGGCGTCTGTTGTGATGTAAGCCATCTCGAGTCTTGAAAGAGCATCAGCAACCACATTTTCCTTACCGTGGACATGTTGGATGTCGCAGGAAAACTGTGAGATGAAGTCAAGATGACGGATTTCACGGGGCGAGTATCGATCGGGAGAGGCTCTCAGTGCAAAAACAAGTGGCTTGTGATCTGTCAGAACGACAAATTCACGACCCTCGAGGAAATGGCGGAAGTGCCGGATGGATAGATAGACGGCAAGGAGTTCGCGGCCGAAGACACTGTAGCGGGTCTCTGCTGGGCTGAGCTTCTTCGAGAAGAAAGCCAAAGGCTGTAGAACACCACGAACAGTTTGCTGAAGTGACGCACCAACGGCAGTGCTGGAAGCATCTGTCCGTGGAGATGCTGGAGTTGTTGCCAGCTGTTAGACAAAAAGAGCTGCGGGTTTTACGTTCGGCCGGAGTTGGTGGAACCACGCTAACCTCGGCACCAGAGTCGACAAGGAATTTGGCGCCAGCGTTACGGTCCCAGAGAAACAGACGGCGAGTGTGAAGATTGGCAACGCTTTCAGTAGCAGTGGCCTCTACTGTCGGGTGGGATCGTCTCCCTGAGGCCGTTACAGATGCCTTGAAAGAGCATGGCTGAAGACATCGTCGAGCTGCTCCTCCAAATTGTTGGTGATACCAGCAGACGCTACTTGGAGATTGTGAACGGCGGGTGTGGGACACGGAGGAAGTACGGCGACGGTTTGATGTTCGCCGCGGGCCGTTAGTGGTAACTGCAGTGAGCTGGGCTTTCAGGCGCATTAATACCTCCTCGAGCCGATCCAAGCGTACGCTAGCTCCTTGAGAATTTGAGTTGATGAGTGACTTCTGGCCTTGGGACATCGCGCTGTAGGTTGCCGAAGATTGTTGTTTTGGACGAAAAGTTTGCGGAATTCCAGTGTTCGGAAATTAGGGGTCACCAATTTGTGGCGGTCAAGGATGTGAGATCGACTTAAACCACGCACAATAAGTTCGTTTCGTCTAATGACAGAAATCAGGGAGCTGTGAGGACTAGTTTATTCTGTACACAGGGCAGGTTGCCGTAAGTTGGCGGTTTGCTTGCAACAGAGAAAAGCGTCCGTTCACGGAGAGCGTCAGTCGCGGTGTGTGTTGTTTACGCGGGTGTGAGTGTCTAGGTCAGCAGGAGGGGGTGACTGTCTGAGTGGTGGTCGTGTGATTGGACAAATTAGAGGACGAGTGGAGGGCGCATACTCACAAGGCCTCACGGGAATCAAGCCAAAGCGTTCGACGCGCGTTAGGCGATACTAGTTTTTGAGTGCAGCCGGGGGTCACTGCAGCTGGACAGGAGGTGTCCCAGTTCTAGCCGGCGGGGGTGGTCGTGCGTCAGCGGCCTGTCAGTGCTTATCGCGGTCATCGACCAACAAAAGGGAGCCGGAGAAAAGGGGGACTGGAGCAGCTGCTACACTTCTACCAGTGACGAGTGTGGGCGAGCTGATATTCGTAGCCGTTTTCGATGAGATTTTTGAAGGATTGGTGGAGTCGGTAGTAATCGATGGCGACGGGCCATCAGAAGTGTGATCATCATTGGTATTGGAAGCCGTAGTCGTCATCGACGCCGTGTGGGTTGGTGTGGAAGTGACGACGGGAGCGGTCGCGTGGGCAGCAGATGGGGTTATTGGTTGGTGGTCGTACTGTGTCCTGCGATGTCTGACGAGACCAGTCCACGTGCGGAAAGTTCGTTGGCAACGTGGGCACGTTCGAAAAGGTTGAGTGTTGACGTTGCGAATCGAGGGCGCTTGAGGATTACGAACCGCTTCTTTTGTCTTTGGAAGAGGCCATACGGTTAACCGCATAAATTGCTGCTCCAATCCTCACTGTGCTCCCCTGGGACAGTCGGTTCCATGGTAAGTTTTCCCAGGTTTTTGGGCTGATTTTTAGGCGTTTCGAAGCAGTTGGCGAGCATACGTTTGCTTTTGATAGTACAGTACATATATATGGGAATGGGCCAAGTAAAACATGTCAGGGACTAGAGAAGTCGACTGAGATTCGTCTGAGAACACAGGCGGGTTGTGGAAATATGGAAGGGAAGGAGGACAGTAAGAGTCATGACAGGGGCGACGTGTGAGCAGAAGGGTGCAGAGAGGTGTATGGTTGGTCGACCTTTGACCACGGCAGGTGTGGAGCCTGAACGTGGTTCTTCTGTGCGCACACAAGATCGGTTTTCGGAACCTCATGGCGACCGCTTCTGCTGTTGCTAACAGGCATTGACCCAGTAGCCTAGGGTAGCTCGATGGGGCCTTATAAATCACGCGGAAAGTTCTTCTAGGGTCCGCACGATGTCCGTAATCAACAACATGCGTGAGAACGGCGCTGTTTGTGCTCCTATTTTGGCTTTTTCCTAGCCATGCCGGGAGGTGTTTTCGTATTCTCTTAGATAGGCGTCGACTCGTACGACCTTGTAGCGGCGCGTTTGACCTCCTGGTCGGTGAGCACCCCATGGTGGCATCTTCGTAGGAGAATCGCTTTGGTAGGCGCTCGTCATTTATCTTTACGAAGTGGCGGCTCAATTGCTGAGGATCCTCGTCCGTCCAAAAACTTCCGCTCTCCTCCTGGTACCTCAGTTTTAGGGTTTGCCGAAGAAGTTGAGGTGGAAGTGACTGAGTTTCCGGACTTGTTTTTCGTAGACTGTCCAGTACTCTCCTCCATACGACAGCGTCATCAAGATGATAGCTTTATTATGGTGGAAAACGTGGCGATCCCATATTTAATTGTGCAGCCGGCCGAAGGCCCGGCTGACTTTAAAGGTCTGGTGAGCCACTTCGTTGTCGATTTTCATGCAGCTTGAGAGTGTGCTGCCCAGGTAGGCGAAGCTGCTTGCGGTCTTTTTTAGGTGCCGTCGACGGAGATTCGAGGAATGCTGTGTGCTGCGTTCGGTGGCGGTTGGTGCATGACCACTGTTTTGTCCGTCTTGATGATCAACCCGAATTTGACGCAACAGGAGGCGAAAAGGTTCATACTTTGTCGCATGTCCTCTTCTGTTACGGTGTTGAGTACACAACCATCAGTAGATAGTAGTAGTGGGTAAACGCGTCGGAGCCTGAATTGGCTGGTTATTGAGAGGATGCTTATCGGTCTTGTAAACGATGCGGATGCCAGGGCTCTTATCACGGTAGGTATCCACCATCACGGCAGGGGACATGAGACTGGAGAGAGTGAGGACGAGTATTCAGTCTTACTTTACTCCGTTAATCACCACACATGCCTCTGATTCAACCATTTTGTCCGGTCCAGCGTCATCATTCCGTCGTAGAGGCGACGCATCATGTGTCCTAATCGCTCAGAACAATAGGACTTCTGCGTGATTTTCCAGAGTCCATCGCGATTCACCGTGTCGAAGGCCTTCAGTAGATCCAGGAAGGCTGTGCAGAGGTGGATCTGTATTTCCAGCATGTCCCCTGCAGCTTGTCGGCGGCAATGACTATGTCAATGGCTCCTCGTGGTGGATGCGCTGGACCAACGCGGGAGCCAGATGCATGCGTTATCGAGAATGCGCACCCAAAATAAATGTCAACACAAGGGCATGAGACAGGCTAGGTTGCAAGCCCACGTCGCGCCATTTGGGATCCGTGCCGTCCTCCACTTTCTGTTGTTTCTTAAAAACTTGACCAAAGTGCATAGTGAGCCAGGGAGCGTGGTTATACGCTTAGGTGCGGGTTTTTGCCGCATCAATACCCCGCGGCCTCCCCCGCCTCCAGTCTTCTTGACTCTGTCTTGACGTCGGGCACAGGTGGGGGAGGAGGAGAAAGTGCGATAGATGCTGCGTAAATTTACTGTCGTTATGAACTTATTCACACGCAAGTCACCGTCCCTGATGTCATCCTGTTGTGAAGCACGCTATAGGCATCGTCGAAACCAACGGTCGAAATGTCAGTTCCACGATGTCGTCGGAAACCATACCATCATTTCGGTAATAGTCCAAGATAACTGCGCATGCCGGAGTCAAGACAAGCCGAGAATTGGCCGTAGCCTATACCTCAGATCAGAACTTAATCAATCGATGTGTCGATATGGAGTTGACACACAGAACCCTGTGCAGCCAGCTTCACACCTGAGTTGGTGAGCGCTGATAAATGTCTCTTGTTCGGTTGTTGCTTTTACATCTGACGATGGCCTCCGACATCATTTCTAACATTAAGACAAATAAAAAATTTATTATAATACTCGACCAGAGTTTTTCTTTCTTATCCATAAAAGCACCTGGAATTTGGTCATTTGCCTTAATTCATATTATGTTTGTTTTTTGGTGAGAATATCAGGCCAATGCAAACGATGAAAATACCTCCTGTGGACATTTCACAAAGTGGCAACGCTTAAATTTCTCTCCGTCTTCTGTGTTCCGGTTTCCACCTCTTTTTGTAGTTAGGCCCCGAGTTGGGAAGCCGAAATAGGGTTCCAAATACATTCAATCACAAAGCGGTATGGGCGCGCCAAGAATACACATCCAGGTGACACTTGTGGAGGAGGCGACAACTTCCACCTTCATGGGGATGCGCTACCGCTCATTTAGCTGCCAATGGTGTCAGCATAGATACGAAACCTTGACTTTGGTAAGTTTGGCCTCTAAGGTGGTCTGCGTTTCAGAAGGAAGTAAAAATGGCTCATAGCCACGTGAGCCAATAACTACTGCCATGCATTCGCGTGACGGTGCGACATAGACGTAGGTCCTTGCATCGCGTCATTCACTGCGTCCAAGTTATCGGCAGTTGACAAAGACTCAGTGAGTCGATTGGGGAGTCGGAGAGTAGAAGAAGAAGAAGAAGAAGAAGAAGGGGGGGAGGAGGAGGAGGAGGAGGACGACGACGACGACGACGAGGAGGACGAGGACGACGAGGACGACGAGGCGGGCGAGGAGGAAAGGGATTTCGGTGCTGGGGACTTCATTTTCATGACACATTATCACTTTCCTCACTATGATAAAGTTTACGAGCCTTAAGCTATTACGACGCGCTATACATTTTTTTGGGATGTTGACAGCTGACGGGATAAGTCGGCCCTACTCATGACTAAAAACAATATTGCAACGGCACCTTAAAATGGTCTTTCTAATACGCGCATGTATGTGAGATCCGAGTCGTCTCCTGTAGTAGCGTTATAAACGTTGTGCAAACCAGGTCGTGTGGAACAAGCGCAGATGGGCAGTTGAGCTTTTGTGGCCAGTGCTTTCATCAACCACGTGAACATCAAGGACCAAGGTCAAGCCGCTGGTTTTAAATTTGAAGATAAGTGGAGGATATTATTTTTAGTGGTTTTTCTGTGAGATCTAACGATTTTAGTACCTGTTTTTTTGGTTGAATTTCCTTAAATACAGGCCTTTTCTCTAAGAACTGCCCGCTGTCATCTCCTTTCGAGTTTTGCTAGTCTATGCCCGCTGTTCACTAATTGTACTTTGCAATTCTCATTTTGTGCATCCGATTTCTCTCTAACTGTTGTAATTTATTTTTACATCGTTAGCCCCTAGCTGAAATTCAGTCAACTTGTCTGCCAGAAGTTTTCTTAATCACAAATTGCCTCGAGACAAGATGAGACCAAAAGTCACTGGTCGACGTAAGCTCTCGTCTCTTGTAAGTAAACATGGCCTAACTAAACGTAAGTCAGAAGCTTTACCTAAATCTAAGTCAGATGATATTACTAGTCAGTCGTCACCCGTTGTAATTGGTCGGCAGCTTAATCTGTCTGCACTTGACCACTGCAATGAATTAATGCTAAAGTTTGGCTCTTTGCTGGCAATTCTTGGACATTTATTCGACGGGAACATCTCCGATATTCCCTCTGAAGAATGTAGGCGTCTCGACTCACTTGTTCACCTGATCGCCAGTGAATCTAGTGATAGACAGAAGCGTTCTTACAACTTCCTGCTAAAAAATGTTCCTCGATCTGCTCGGACAATTGATGTTGCGACCAGTTTCCTGTATTCATGTGGTTTCAACTATAAAATAGCTGATGCCAAACGCTTGTCCTCCCGTAGTACAAATCCACCCATCTTAGTCAAATTGTTTTCATCAATCGAGGTTGACACAATCTTTACCCATCGAGAGCGTGTCACTGCGTACCTAGAGAAGGCAAAATGTTTCCTTTGTCATGATCTTACTCCTATGGAGCGTAGAATGGGGTCTCTATTCTCACGTAAACCTACTGCTTCTCAGTCTAATGCTCATCAACTCGGTCATAATACAAGTGGCCGTAAGGATTCAGCTTCTCAGTCTAATGCTCCCCAACTCGGTCATAATACAAGTGGCCGTAAGGATTCAGCTTCTCCTACTCCTGCGACATCTGACTCCCTCCTTCCTCTTTCTCCGACATCTCCATCTCACTCGAACCACTTGACGCATTTGCCTGCCCCTAAACTTGCAGTAGCAGCAGCAGCAGCCCCATTTGTCGTTTCGTATCCCCCGGATAGTCCCGCTGAGACACATGAAAATCCGTCTACATCAGCTAGACCGATAACTTCTATTGTCCAACTGGGTGCTGTAAGGTCTACAGCTAAGTCACCAGTGGCTTGGCGTCAGAACGGTGAGACTCAAAAATTGAATCAGACTCCGACCCAAAAGAAAGGTAGTACAGTTCCATTTGGAGTTACGACGCCTTCTCTTAGATCTAACAAGTCTGTTCAGCCCAGCACGTCTACAAATCCCGCAGCTCCAATTAGATCCTCTAATAATTCTCTGTCCTGCGTACCGGTTACTTATCAAAGTCCTACTATATATCCAGCAAATAATTCATACATGAATTGCCCTAAATCATTTATGCCCCAACCTAGTTCAGGCTTCCCACCACTTAAGGCCAATTGCTCTCAGGTACGTCAACCTATCTCCTTTGACTTCCAATCTAGACCTGGTTTCCCACTATTTCATTCTTTTAGTGGCCTACCCTC